TGGCAGCCATGATCTGCTCTGACCTTCACCATTATAAGCCTAATTTAGATGCGCTGTCCTAACATGGCCTTAACACATTTTGCCTTAATGCTGACCTTTATGAATCATAATCTTTTAATGAACATGAACAGCTATGTGCCCACCACTCACACATTCTACTGCTCGATATAGGCCTACTGTATATTCTACTGTAAGTATATGCAAACCAGTGGGGCCAGGGCCACTGGGCCTCTGACTACCACAGCCTTTGACCTGAAAGTCCTGAAAACAAGGTTTTGTAAAAGTAGAATTGATATTTATAGATAAACAGTGCTTGAATGTGTTCAGTTCAAGGAACAGTTCACCCAAAAGTGAAAATTAGCTGAAAACGTATTCACCTCAGGTTTTCCAAAATGTAGTTGTTTGTTTCTTCATCGGAACAGATTTGAATGAGAGTCCAAACAGCTGTTAAAAACATCACAATAATCCATAAGTAATCCACACGATTCCAGACCGTCAATTAACATTTTATGAAGCAAAAAGCTGCATGTTTATAATAAACCCATTATTGAGGAGTTTCCGTCACTTCTGGCCAAAGAAATCTAGGACCTGAAATTTTTGATTATAAAGTGGTAAAATGAGCAAGTAGGTTAAAATGTTAAGGTGTCCATCATTAGTTATTGATTCGTTTCACATTAATTATGAATCCATTTATATCATATTTTCTTGTTAGTTATTTGTAGTTAGAATGTTAATATTGTGTTGCTAATTTGTTCCTGTGTTATTCGATTATTCATAGATGATGCAAGAACAGTATTGTAAATTGTGACCAAAAATTTATTTAACTTGTTTGTAACAGAATTGTTAGATTGTCATGATATCTAACATTTTATTATTAATAAAAATAGGATCTTTTGAATGTGTTTGACTGCATTATCTCCCATTAAGATTACTTTATGTCTCCTGACCTCTGTCTATCATTTTCATTGGCAACAACATTTTGTACAACAGAATGTACTACAGACTAAGACAGTCGGTACCAGCCTATGCTGTTTATAGCATCGTCTCAATAGCTCTCTCCACCTGTCAGGGTAGAATGGATTGCTTTGTGTAAAGCAGAGAGCTTGTAAAAATAAATAAATACATAAATCTCCAGTGAAGAAGCAGGAGGTTGATGTGACACAAGGGCCTGAGATGCCATGTGAACCCTTAGTCCTCAAATTGAGCAAAACTTAATATCCCATTACCCCATTTCCTCCCCTCTCCTGATTTCTCTCTCAATAGTGCTGGTTAATAATTCACACTGTGGGCTATTGCATTTCCACAATTGGAGACTCTGCTAAAATACCAAAGCTATTGTCCCTGAGCTTATTACATTCGCTCAAAGTTTTTGATACACCAAAAAAAAAAAAAAAGAAATAAATGCTTCATTAAAGTGCAGCTCAGGACTTTGAAAATGTTGCATACTACTAAACATTATTCGTTTTTAATAGTTGTTAGGGAGCTTTCTCTGAGGTGTAAAGTCAATGTACTTTAGCGCTACTTATTTTGACTATGTAATAAAGATTGATTATTCCTAACACATGGTGCTGTTACAGCCTTGCAATTCATCATGTATTTTCCCTGCATTTAAAAAAAAAAAAGTCTAATAATCCTTCAATGCTTGATGTGCCATCAATCCAGAATGAATGACTGGATCTGCTGAAAGTTTTTTGCCAGAAAAACAGATTTGATGTTTTAACAGTTATATATTTTGAATGTTGAGGACTTTCTCTAAAGTTTTCATGACAGATGGTTTTTAATGTTCTTTTAAAACAAATGTTTATGAAAGTTAATATTTGTAAAATGCATCACTTTTCCAATTAAACACTGTTCAATTTCGTGTTAATGTGACAGCAGGAAACAAAAACAATTACAAATTTGTGCTGGCCAGAATTTGTTTTGTGCTTTGAATTATTGGCTGCCCACAGCATGAAACCATTGAATTTTAAGCGACAATTAAAAACCGAAATTATCAGTTTCCTATTCAGATTTAAGAAATTGCATATTGTGAGTTGCTGCCCATTTCATGTAAAAAACTGGGACCTGAAGCAAAACCAATTGAGAAGTACTGGCCTAATCTACCTGATCCTGTTGTGTTATTTTTGGCCACTAGAGTGCTGCAAAAAGCCATTCTTACTAGTTTAATACAAGATGCAAAGGAATAAATTATGCCATGCTGTTAAGTGTAACTACAGAGGCTGCTCTAGTCTTTTTTTCTTGACCAGATGCCTCAGAAGTTCAATATAGCAGCATTTATTTATTTCTACAGTGGCTGAATACAAATATGGTAAAGGAACTGATTGATGGTGTGGTGTTGGATAACAATGGAACAAATATCATAATATCACCATAAATGGTCATCCCCTGATGTTTTCTCTAACAAATATGAAAATAAAGACTTGTGTAACAAACAGGCAGATACGTTGTAAAAATGAGAACACAAAAGCAACAAATTAGCTTAAGTGAGAGACTTTTGATGAATTGCAAGCTTTGATGAAGCAGTAAAAGTTTTTATACAGTTGATATACAAAAGAATTGTATATCATAGCAAATGATAGCTTTTGCCCTTCAGAAGCATTTCATTATGTTGAGTGGTGAGTGATGTATAGGTGTTGATCCTCCCCAAACCCTTATTTATTTTTCCTTAATCCCTTCCTATTCACCCTCAGAAATCAATATAGAAACCCCAAATCCAGTTGATTATCCTATTGCCAAACTGATTCCGACTAGAGTGTTAAAGCGTAAAATACAACATGAACCTGTCAGCTATACCTGCATTGGAAGCCACACAGGAAATTAAGGTGTTCTAAAGTGAGAACTGAAACTTTTTTTTTTTTTTGTCATTTTAAATTAAAGTGATGGTTAGAAATGTACTAAAGTTAGTATAACTTGTCAGAAAGTAAAGATGTGATTCAATATTTTAATAGTATGGACTTTTGGACTTTTTTTTCTTTCTTTCTTTTTTTTTTTGATGAAATTTGTTTAAACATTTAATGAAAAGAGTAATGCAAACCAGCTTTATATAGATAGCTTGCATGGCTTGTTGTGTGACATATTACACTATATTAATTTTTGCATACCGATAAAAATGTTTTATCTAATGCAGTAGCATGCTTTCTATTTTTGTATGCTTTCATAACCCCCTTTTTATATTTTGGAATATTCTGGATAAAACAGTACTCACATGAGACTTTTTGATGTTTTACTTTTTGAATACTTGTGCCAAATGGTTTTTCATTTGTAGCATTATCTTGCAACACTCTGCCTGTGTGGACCAGTATTCTGTAATTATGTTCATAGTTCACAGGCAGACAGTAAATATGACACTTGGGGTACAGATGTTTGCCAACAGCACTGTAATCCATTCAGTTATTAATTAGGAAAGCTGGTCCTGTCCCACTTTCTCCTTTCACTGCCCCTCTCTCTCTCTGTCTTCTCTCCCCGTCTCCTCTGTGGCTAACTTTCCTTCCCCCTCATATGTGCTTAGCTGCTTGGCTAAGTGTTAGTGTGTGTGTTTGCGAGTGTTTGCACTATCTGTGACTGTCTATCACAACAGCTTAATCCATCTTGGCAAACTGAGGCAAATGGGAAACCCACTGATTAGTATTCATGGCCGTTACCAAATTTCCCTTCCAACTCTGCTGTCTGCAATAGAAAACTTATGTTTGTCCTGAATATCTGTTATTGCGCCTTTCCAATTAACAAAATAATTTTTACTACTATATTTTCACTGTTGTTTCCAGCTACCCAAAATATTGCTTTCTCAAGAAAAAAGTCAAATATGTTGGTGGATTTTGATGTGAGAGGAAAACAGGGGATGGACTTTTTCGCTGTTTCACTGAGGCAATGCTATTATGGATTATGGACTCGTATTTTGGTCAGAAGCAATGGTTTAAAGTTAAATCTCCACAATGATGGATTTGTTTCTTACAAACACGTAGCTTTTCTCTTCACAAGACATTAACTGATGGACTGGAGTCGTGTGGATTATTGTGATGTTTTTATCTGCTGTTTGAACTCAACTGACAGCTTGAGTTTTGAGCTTTGAGCTGACAGCACCCATTCACTGCAGAGGATCCATGGGTGAGCAAGTGATGTAATGCAAAGTTTCTCCAAATCTATTCCAGTGAAGAAAAAAATTCATCTACATCTTGGATGGCCTGAAGGTGATTTAAATGGTGATAAAATTTTAATATATGTGACCCTGGAGCACAAAACCAGTCTTAAGTCGCTGGGGTATGTTTGTAGAAGTAGCCAAAAATGCATTGTATGGGTCAAAATTATCGATTTTTCTTTTATGCCAAAAATCATTAGAATATTAAGTAAAGATCATGTTCCATAAAGATATTTTGTAAATTTCTTACCATAAATGTATCAAAACTTCATTTTTGATGAGTAATATGCATTGCTAAGAACTTCATTTGGACAACTTTAAAAGGCAATTTTCTCAATATTTTGATGTTTTTGCAGCCTCAGATTCCCGATTTTCAAATAGTTGTATCTCAGCCAAATATTGTCCTATCCTAACAAACCATACATCAATGGAAAGCTTATTTATTCAGCTTTCGGATTATGTATAACTCTCAGTTTTAAAAAAAAATTGACACGTAAGACTGGTTTTTTGGTCCAGGGTCACATATTTGGGTGAACTATTCCTTTAAAGCATATAAAGAATGACCCATACCATTATTTCATGTTGAATTCAGTATTCAATTGTACTTGCTTAATAATACTGTTACAACAATGCATTTGTTGTCTGATGTTTCTCCAAAGCAAATATGCAAAGGAAATCCAAGGTTACTTGTCAGAGAGTACAAAACAATAGATTTGGAATGAAGATTAGGTGTTCAGAACCATGGACAGGGGTGACAGATCAGCAGTGGGATCTCAGAATGTCCCCTGTTCAATCCTATAGACAATATCTGACATTTGCATGCAGTTTGCTCTCTGCCATGACCAATCCAGATATAGATGGGCGGAGTGAGAGTACAGATTCGGAGTCTGAGGTGGGAGGTTTTACATGAGAGACTCGAGGAGATGGGTACACTGCATTGATATCTTCCACGTTGTGCGCGAAAACCACACGATCCCTCCCCGATATTACGCAGTCTATTTAAACGCAACATCCACACACCCATTCCATTTCTCACCACTTTGGTCGTCTCACCTGCACTCGCGGTGTTCAGGAGAGGAATCCAGTGATGGATCAGGACAAGTACCTGCCAGAGCTCATTGCCGAGAAGGAGAGCTTGGACCCGTCGTTCGTGCACGCGATGCGCCTTCTCGCTGAAGGTAAACTATGTTTTCTGCCATCAAATTTAGGCTCCTATCTGTTTGGTGTGGCGTCGCTGAGGTAGCCTACATTGTTTGTGCTGTTATCGCATATACAATATTCATTAATCATGTTTGATACAGATAAGTGGATCTGTTCTTGAAGCATGTAAGTATGAATTAGGCGTGTATCACTTATTATGTTTTCAGGTGGTCATTTGTAAAATGAGGGAATTGTGCACAGGCGGGTTTGGTCTTTATACAATTTTTGTAAGGTCGTCTTTTCCAGTGATTGGGACTGTGCTCAACTTCGTTTTCATACAGCACTCAAGTGAGATTTCAGTCAGCACAGTTGTAACCAGTGAACGGAATTCAAAAAAGAAATTAGAAGCAGCATAAACGACAATAAAATATTAGGCGCCTTTTTAAGTTCGTCCGAAAAAGTTAACGTGCTTCAACGACGTCACTTACCATAATCACAGAAATTATTTCAAATGACTGAATCGGGCAATACGGAATTCATATAGTGAAACCTAACGTAGCCTGTTCGTAATACTGATTTTTTAAATGCATTTGATCTAATACATTCAAATGTTCTCATTCTGTTTCATTTAATAAGCAATATGTTAATTATACCATAACTTTAATGGTATTTTAAAGCAATTTCATCTTTTTCTAAATAAATAAAATGTCAAATTATTAAATATAAAAGTAATTTCGTAGCATAATCTGTCGATTAATTCGTCTCGCGAACTCATTGATTTAGTATTGTATAGTTAGCTAGACGTCACTTATCTAAAATACTATTTAAGCAAAACACTAGTTTTTGTGATATAGGTTATTTACAAGTCATGCATAACAACAGCACTTGCCTTACGCACAGCCCAAATCTGATCGCAATGGAAAACTGGCGAGCAGCGTTCTGTTGTTATGTTGGCTACGCATTTTGGCTAGCTATGGCTCATTTTAATCAAACTTTGATCACTAAAAAGCACATTTTGCCATATGAACTTGTATAAAAAATAATAACTTACCATTTTTATGCTATAGCCTATATATGCTGCTATATCTCTATTGATTTAATGTTAAGCACAGAGAGCCTCAATATTTCATTGCCTACCCCAGTGTTCATTTGTGTGAGGTTATAAGGACAACTTAACATGGTAGCATTGCACATGATTTGAAGTTAATATAGTTGGGATAAGATAAAAGCAGTCCTTGACAACTCATCAGATAGTAAGCAGAGTAATTAAGAGGCAATTACGGCTATTACAAAATACTCACACTGGCTCGGATTATCTCAAGTGCAGGGGAGCACAGTGAGGCGTGTGCTGTTGAACAAGCATGCATATAACTAAATGACAACAGTTGTAACTGGTCCAGGTTATAAGGAAACTGTAAATAACAGTACACATATTGTTAATTGTAAATAATGTGCAACATTAATTTACATTAAATCATAAGTCACTATTAATGCTAATTAGTCATAACCTTAAAACCAAATCAAGATAGCACGACTCTCCACAAAAGGGATAATACGTCATTTGTATGCTATCTTTCAAATGAACTAAATTGGCCGTGGTTATGAAAGTCTGCATATAGCTTACATCACTACTATTCAGTCTGAATATTTTGCCTCTGCACAAAAAGGCTTATTGAACTGGAATTAATGGTAATTAGTGGCAGTCTAGTAAAGATACTTTGCTGTGGGTCATACTTATAAGTAGACACCTACTGTCTTAAAAGATAGTGCTTCCCCCAAGACACGTAGAAAAAAAGTTTCGTTTTTGTATTTTTGTTTCATTGTTATATAATTAGCCTACATATTTATAAAGTAATTTATTCAGAAATAATGAAAGAAATAAAAATGATAAACTTGATTATCTCTCACCTTGGTAGCACATTATGAACAATAGTGGCAAGGATTAAAAAAAGCAAACCTTGTGGTTCGTTAAATTTCATGCTGAGCCACTGGTACCCTGCCAGTGTTTATTTACCCAAGCACATATTTTATTGATTTCAGAATGTCGTATGATAGTCAGGCCTCTTGGTACTGCATGTACCTTTAAGGCCAGTGAACAGTACACCTGACTTAAATCTGGATAGGAAATGACTCTGGCCCATGCTCAGGCAACACTTCGATATGTGTTTTCTTGTTAAAGATTTAAAACTCTACACTGTTATGTTTGCTGTACATTTTGGGATATTAAGGGAATTTAAATCAAATGCTTTCACTCTCAAAGTTTCTGGGTTTAAGGAGAGTTCAGGCAAGGAGTCTCCCACAGCTTAGATATTTTGCTACAAATTTTGTCACACACTTAAGAGGGAAGTGATTAATATTACAACGGCGATCAATACAAGTGTAACTTATCCTAAACACCAGGCGGCCTGGAAACAACTGACGACTAAGCACTTTAGCTAATGGCCTGTGCCTGCTGTGTAACTCTAATGTCTAGACCTCTCTGAAACTGCACAATTCCTGTGCACTGTGAAAGAACTTGCACAAATGATCAGAATAGCTCATTTTAGGATTTTTATATGTCAAAAAAGAAGTGATACGTACATATTTTAGTGCAGCAAAGCAACAGCTAGAGGATCATTTACAGTCAAACCAAAATGTATTCAGACACCTTCAACATTTCATACATTATCACAGTTCGCTATAGTTTCGAAAATGGTAATAAAATATGACAAGAACTGTGTCAGAACAAATTCCTCTTGATAATGTCGGATAACAATTAAGCAAAATGTGGTCAGGTCAAAGTGTCTGAATAATTTTTGGTCCCAAATTTTTGTCAGTTTTACTGGTAGTCCACTGTATGAAGAATTTTTGGGTATAATATGTCACAGTTTACTTTATTTTGCTATCCTCACTTACATAAATGAACTAAAGTGTACTGCACCCACTATTAAAAAAATATCAATATCAAAAATTATATCTGGTGTCTGAATAATTTTTGGTTTGACTGTATCTTCATTTGTACAGCACATCAAATAATAGTAAATTATTATTTTTTCATTTAGTCTGTATATTGGTATTTATTACAGTAGGTCTTTTTTAAGTTCATGAAATATTATGGCATACAAGTGATCTTATACACAAATGTAATATATATATATATAAATATGTTAAATTTCCATATATGACATATATTGTCATATAAAAGTAAAAACATATATGAAACCTATTAGAAATTAGAACAATTTCATATATTAACATGTATATCTAGCCCATAAAAATATGTATGTTTATGTATGTGTAAAACATTTTTGGACATGCATGTCATGTATGTGTATATCAATCCTAAAACCCATTAATATATATTGATATTATATAAGTAAATATAAAAGATAGACATGTATTATTATAAAAACTTATATTAGCATACAGATATTTTGTATATATTTGTATTTTTTGTATTTGTAGGCCTATTTGTATTTTTTTAATAAAGTTGCATATACTGTCTAAGTAAAATATATATTGTAGACACATATATAGTTTTATATACAGTATGTTATGAACTTATATCTTCTTCTACCCAGAGAATGTATGTGAAAATTATATATTGCCTTATAGGTAATTTATATGGCAATATCACATTTCGATATTGGATATTAGCAAAATGAGTTTTTGACAGGTTTGTCTCAGAAAAGATAGGGTAAGTTTGGCTAAAGGAGACTGTTTAAAGTTTATTCATCTTCTCCATCCAGATGCTTTTGATTTTCAGGTAAGACAGTCCACTTCAGAGAACCACCAAGTTACTGGAATAAGCTGTTCCTCATAGGGGAACAAATAGGATGCTTCAAATTCCATTCTGTCATTTTGATCTTGTAAAGCACATTGCTGAATTGCTTTTATAGAGGTGACTTGATGCAAACTACTTACTTTAGAAAAGGACAGACTGCTACTGCATCCACTTTAGAGTCCATTTTTCTAAAATGTGCCTTCTTTTTCTCTTAGTGACAAAAAGTAAGGCAGCAAAAAAATCTGCTTAGCAACAACATTTTAGGAATGGATATTACAAGGTGGTGTTAAAGATGAGGTGCTCTTAGATGATTAAAACAGCTGGTCATTCATTGCTGGACAGATGTTTGTGGTAGACGGTGACTCAAATGAAAAGCGGCACACAAAGCATTTTTTTTTTCAAATCAGAGAATGTTGAAATATTTTATTATGCTTTTACAGTACATCTATTATATCAAGCTTTTCCCCAGCTGTAGTGATTCAATTGTGGTTTAAACAACAGTAATATATGACTCTCAAGGATCGCTGTGCCTGATGGGAAAATTCTACCACAACACCCTTAATTATATAGAACAGCATGAGTGTCGTATTTCAGTAATTAATCACCCTTCACTATTATAACCAAGGATGTAATATCTAGAGAAAGCTATGTGTTAGTATTCCCATTCAACTCAATGGCAGTTGCTCGGCTGACACAACACCTAGTAGTAGTACTAGATCTGGAATGAGGTTGTTGCTCATGGCTCATTTTTAAGGATGCTTTTAAGAGCCCTCAAAAAAGTATCTGCTAAAAAAAATTCTACTATAATAAAGTGAAACAATTGGGGTTTATGTTCGCAAATTTTTATTTTATTTTTTGAGAATACACTTTAGTTTTTTTAGTGTAATAAAAATGCATTTTATTATCAGATGCAGTTACAACATAATGGGACCTTGTTAACCAGCAGTTTGTAAACCATTGCTTTAAATTACACAGTGTTTATGAAATGTTTGCAGTCCAAGTTAACCAGGATTTGCAGGTCAATCTAGTTATGTTTGAGGTTTAATACACACATCTTTCAGATTCTACACAGGTCATATGCTTCCAGATGTCTTAAATTAGTGCTAATGGATACCGTTGATCAAAAGTGTGATCTAGCAGTAATCTTGTCCTGACAAAACAAAATCATTAGGCCAGAGAACGTGTCTCAAGATAGAATGAATGTTTAATGATATGTCTCCATTTTCATAAGCAGTCTTTTAACTTGATTTAGTTCTCCTGCAGTATAAATGTGAC